GTTCTTGAGAGGGACTTCGTCCTCAAGAACATTAAAAGGCAAATGAGAGAAAGCTGCAAGCAGAAGTTGAGCTTGTTTTCGCTCAGTTGGAGTAGGAAAAGGTAGAGGTTTATAAAGTGGGAAGGCATTTTCCATGGATAGGGCAAGCTTCAGTTTCTCTGTCCAGGAAAAAATTGGTGGGGGAGAAGGTATGAATACTTCAATTTCGGGAGACGAAGAAGAAGGTGTGGACGCTTCTATTTTCGGAGATGACACGGGAGCAGAAGGAACAAAGGCATAAATATAATCAAGCCAGTCAGAAGAACAAATCTTCGCCTTCTGGGCTAAGAATGATGGGTTATACCCTTGTGCTTCTTCTGGGCGGGGGGCAGCGTGCACTATCTTTGTAGGCATGGAGGATGTAGACCATGCTACAAGAAGATTCTCCTCCAGACTACGCCGACGATCAATGGGCACATAGGGATAAACAACTGAACTTCGAGCATAGGAAGGAAACTCTAAAGGGTCAGTGAACTCAACAAAATGATGGTTGATTCGCTCCTTCAAATCACAAGTCTCAAGTATTGACCAGCTTGTCCAGTCAGAACCCCCAGAAGAGGAAGAAGTTGCAGCTTTATCCCATATAGAGATTTGCGAAGAAGAGTTTCTCAAGTCCATATTTGCAATTTTCCGAATCAAAGGTTTGAGAGCAGTTTGTTCGAACTGTAAAGGTAGGTCAGAGGAAAAACTTTTTATGTCTATGTTTGTGGCTTTCTGAATCGAAGGATTAAGAGCAATGTGTTCGTAATCCAAAGGTCGGTAATTTGCAAAAGCATCCATGACCTGAATATAGAAAGGTGGGTAAAGGTGGCTAATAAATGCATGCTTTCGATGAGAAATAGCATCGACATATGACTCTTCGTGTGCTTGATCGCTGGAGGAAAGAATTAATTTGGCCATGAAATGTATCAGTCTGTTCGAATGCTAAGACGGTGAAAACACTTAAAGGATCAAAACGAGAGCATTAATACAGATGGTGAGTGACAGTTGCATTTCTGGGAAGATGCAAAACCCATGCACGTTCTAAGACGTGGGAAAAAGGACCCTGATCCACTAATATCACCAAGTCTTGGGCATATTAGTGCGGGGGGTAATGTTGGCTACATATTTTGTGCTAGCCAGTGACAATTCGACGAGTGGCAAAGTAAGGGTAATATGGGGAGACCAGTCAGGTCTTCGATCCTGATCATACATGTGGCAGTTAATATTGGTTGTTATAAGATCTGAGTAGCAGCGGATCAACAAAGAGATGTACGGTGACGTGGCTTCAACGGTTGCTCACATTCAAATTCGAATATAGGAGGGAAGCCTAACTGCAAGTGAAGGCGTAGTGAAACTACTTATAAGGTAGCATGATTAGCGATCACGGAGGAGCAGTTCGACGGTTTGAAATACAGTTCGATGGTTATCTTCGGAGAGTATAAATTGCAGGAAGGACTTCAGAGAAAGGGACGAGAAGAAATCTAAAGAAAACCAGTCTTACTTTACATATTCCAGTTTTATTTCCTGTTCTTTACATTTCTGTACTTTAAGTTCCTGCGCTGCACTTCATTTGTAGGAGTAGTTTTCGAGTATATTGTCGCTGTAAATCTCTACAGAACTAAGATCATTGTAAGTTTTTCATACTAATGAAATGTTTCAGTTTATTTAATTGTTCTTATGCTCAAGTTCTCTGAAGTCAAATTACCAGTAAGCCACCAGTAAAAGTCCTCTTTATTGAGGCTAAAAGAACCATAACACAATCGTTTGAATAATTGTTTGGCAATTACAATTCTGTAAGGACTGATTGACCCTTGCTGGCACGCTCATAATTACAAAAATAACCTTCGAAAGCCAAAAAGCCAACACTTACGTGCTTTTGTGACATTATTTATGTAAGTTCGTGGAAACTTATGTGATTTTATATTTTCAAAGCTTTTATAAGATAACTTATGTGAGTTTGTGTTAATTTACGCATTTTTGTGAGATTACTTACATGATTTTATATTTTTCATAATTTTTGTAAGATAATTTATGTGAATTTGTGCTAATTTATTCATTTTTATGAGATAAATGTATAATTTCAATGTATAATAATAAGGCTAAAAACAAAAAGAACACACCATATATTTTGTCTCACATGGGGTTCACTTATGTAAGACATTTGATCATTTATTTATTAAAAAATTTTGTATCCTTAATATTACCCAAAAAAAAATTCTTATTGTAATCCCATCTTATTAATTTTCAAATTTATAGGATAGACTATTTGTAGGGTCAAAATTAGGACACAATATTTCATGATATTTTTGTAGAATGAACTATATATGTGCTTATTTTGAAAAGTAAGAAAGAAAAAAAAATTATTTTCCGGGATATCATGCGTTTATATTTTAAATTATATTTTTGTATCAATCAAAATTTTATAAAATATTACCTATTTATATTCGAATAATGTTTGAGAGCCACAATTTGTGTGGCTCAAATGGCTCAAAACTGTCAAAACGACGTCGTTTTGACATGTTTTGTGCTCAAAACGACGTCATTTTAGTAATTTTGAGCTATTTGAACCATAAAAATTGTGGCCCTTTACCATTGCCCTTTATATTGAGAAAGGACTGAATAATCACTCTACCGGCTGCTGATGTGACGACTTGTCAAATTAATACAAAGGAGACAGCGCTATTTCTTCCGTCTTCCCTTTCCTCCTCTATCGCCTATTTTGACAATTAGCAACAAAAACAAGTTTTATTGATTTATTCGGGTGTTTTGGGAAATTAATAAAAAGTTAATTTTTGATTTTTTATCAAATTTTTTGAAAGTAATTTAGAAAATTGGTAAAAAATTAATTTTTTATTTTTTAGTTTAATATTTATTTATGGTGTCAAATCAAATTAAAATGATTAAAATACCCTTACTCAACATAAGAAATTTATTTTTTTATTTTTTTCATAGGTCCTAATTTGTATTTTTACACATCATTTTTAGCACTTGCCAAACCAATTTTCTGCCATTTTTGGCACTTGCGTTTTTGAATATTTTATCCAAAAACGTGACGTTTTGCTATGTTCCCAAAATGGCACATTATCTTATTTGCTCAGGTTATTTTTATATTTTTTATATGTTTATTTAAAAAAATCAAAAAATTAAATTTTTTTTTTCTTTCTTACTTTTCAAAATAAGTACATATATAGTTCATTCTACAAAAATGTCATGAAATATTGTGTCCTAAAGTAACAAAATAAGTACAATTAGGACACAATATTTCATGACATTTTTGTAGAATGAACTATATATGTACTTATTTTGAAAAGTAAGAAAGAAAAAAAAAATTTAATTTTTTGATTTTTTTAAATAAACATATAAAAAATATAAAAATAACCTGAGCAAATAAGATAATGTGCCATTTTGGGAATATAGCAAAACGTCACGTTTTTGGATAAAATATTCAAAAACGCAAGTGCCAAAAATGGCAGAAAATTAGTTTGGCAAGTGCTAAAAATGATGTGTAAAATTACAAATTAGGACCTAAGAAAAAAAATAAAAAAATAAATTTCTTATGTTGAGTAAAGATATTTTAATCATTTTAATTTGATTTGACATCATAAATAAATATTAAATTAAAAAATAAAAATTTAGGCTCTGTTTGTTTGTATTCTCAAATCAATTTTCTACGTGTGTTTTGGAGCATGATGTTTGGTTACGTTTTCAAATCAATTTTCTACACTCTCTGCAGAGAACTCTGTGCACATTGGCGTGTTTTCTGTCCAAAGGAAGACCACCCGGTAGTCCACCTGGATGTCCACCCGGATGTCCGGCTGATTTCCAGATTTTATTTATTTATTTATTTATTTATTTTTTATTTTTTGCAATTGATTTACATAATCGAGACAAATATTTTCTGAAATTTTTTAATTTTTTTATGTGCTTTAAAATAATTTTGAGTTGTATGTTTAGTTATGAGTTGTAAATTTTTGTATCACATATCAAATGTCACATCAATAATTCCTTACTCAAATCAAACATCTTTTCCAAAACTATTTTCAAAACTCTTTACCAAACAAATTTTCTACACTCAAATCATAATTCCACAACACACAAGTCTATATGACATTTGGTAAAAGATGTAGAGTATAACTTGTAGAGAGAGTAAGGTTAGAGACATTTGAGGAACTATGAAAAAGGTTAATTTTTTAATTTTTTTTATCGTAGCTTTTTTTTTTTTAGAAAAACATGTAAAAAAATAAAGATAATGTGATCTAAAAGAATCAATAAGTTAATAAATTAACTTTTTTCCTAAGCCTAATTTGAAAAGTGAATTTTTATTTTTTATTTTTTTGACTTATTATAAAACAATGTGCAAAAAAAAAATAAAAAGATAATATATGACCTAAATAAGTTAATAAGCTGACTTCTTTTGTCATTCTCAAAAGAGGCCTTATACTCATAAATTCATTGTAGATGTGGCAAAAAAATTGAACCCTCCATTGTTAAATGTATAATAAATCAAAAGTTAATATATATCAAATATATTATTGTGGGTAGAATTAAACATTTCCCATCTTTTCCAAAACTATTTTCAAAACTCTTTACCAAACAAATTTTCTACACTCAAATCATAATTCCACAACACACAAACTCAAAATACAACTCATATTCTCAAATCACATTTACAAAACTTTACCAAACGTTACCTTAATTTTTTACCAATTTTCTAAATTATTTTTCAAAAAATTTATATTTTAAATTATATTTTTGTATCAATCAAAATTAGGACACAATATTTAAAATATAAACGCATGATATCCCGGAATATTGAATAATTTCCACGCTGGCAAAATGAAACTCTGAAGACTTCCAAGTCGCGTCGGAATACTAAAACCGTGCTGCTTCTTCGACCTTGGTCCCACGTTTTTGCCGCGAGCGTTGTGAATCAAACTACAGACTTGTACAAAGCAGCGTATATATATATATATATATATACTTACATATAACCTTTCAACTTGGGGTTTTCACGCGTTTTCAAACTCTTTTTCTGGCCCAAATCACTGCGCACACTCATTTAAAATTCCTTTTTTTTTTCCCCCTCTATAAATTCTTCTCCTTTGTTCTGAATTCGGTTTGTTTGCGCGTTCGAGCTTTACAATGTTCCTAGTCAAACTCTGCTGGTGAATTGGTTCAAAATTTTGGATCTGAGTTTGGAAAAATAAATCTAGAGTTTGTTGTTGTTGTTGTTGTTGTTGTTGTTGTTGTTGCAATGATGGAGATTTGGAGATACAGAGAACATTGCTTGGCGATTTCGATAGTATTAGTGTGTTTGATGCGTCAGAATTTGAATTTGTGTTGGAGTCTTAACGATGAAGGTATGAGCTTTCTATTTTGCATTGACTTTCAGATCGTTTCATGCTCTGTTTGGTTCATGAGAAAATTTAGGAAAATAGAAACACAAAACGAGCTGCCTTTTTTTACTTTACTTTACTTTTTTTTTTTTTGTATACTGTTTGTAATTTTAAGAAAAACAAAAATATACATTTTTTACAGCAACACAAAACGAGCTGCCTTTTTTTACTTTACTTTACTTTTTTTTTTTTTGTATACTGTTTGTAATTTTAAGAAAAACAAAAATATACACTTGTTACAGCATCTCCAATTCTTCACATTTTCTTTTATCAAATTTAAATTTGATGAAAAAGTGTTTAAAAATCATCTTCAATCCTTTCATGAAAAGTTCATCAAATCAAGGGAGTCATTTTTTTTTTCTCATCAAATTGAGAGCTCATCAAATTTAAATTTGATGAACATTTAAAAAGATGAAGCATTGGAGATTTTTTTGTTTTCATCAAATTTGATGAAGAAGGAAATTTAGGATAAAAGGAGAATTTAAAAAAAAAATGATAAAAACTTGATGAAAGAATTGGATTAGTTCATATCAAATCAAGCTTTTTACTCAAATTTGAAAACCAATTGATGAAGAAATTTGTGAAAGGGTTGGAGATGCTCTTAATAGCTTTTCAAATTTTTGTAAACATAAACAAATGAAATTGTAAATATAAAGGTTACCAAACAGCCGATCGTTCTTTTTAAATTTTTTTTTTTTTTTTAAAAAATTTTCATCAATTTATTTATTTATCCTGAAGTAAGTTTCTTGATAACCAGAATGAGTTTTTACAGAGGATATGAACTGATGGAGTCAATGTTTGCTTGCAGGTATGGCGTTATTGAGATTTAGGGAGAGAGTGGTTAGCGATCCGTTTGGGGCTTTGTCAAATTGGAGTGATGATATTGGAGTACTGAATCCATGTTCGTGGTTTGGCGTGGAGTGTTTGGATAGCAATGTTGTAGTTTTGTAAGTAACTCACATATAATTGCTATATTTTGTTTAGTTTGTGGTAAACTAAATCTGTTTTCTTATTCTTCTAATTATTAGAATATTCTGTCTAGCTGGGAATTGAAGAAAGAAAGGGGAAAAAATAAAAAATAAAAAAAATAATAAGAAGAAAAAACATGCATGAGGTTTATGCATTTATTATCTGAATTCTGAACTCGTTTTTTGATTAAATCTACAGAATAGAAAGATTGTAAATTCAAATAAAATCCTACATGGTGGATTTATATCAAACTCTTTTCCTACAGCTTTGAAAGATTTTCACGAGTCTTATCAACATATTCTAGTCCGGCAGTGCTGCATACCCCCAGCAACCCCATCCCACGTGGGGGGCTGTGAGAGGAAGACCCATACAAGAAATTTTTTTTTTTTCAGCCAATCAAAAATCAGTGGGGGTGGTGGGGGTCACCCCCACTGGGATCTAAGGCATTTTTCATTCTAGTCATAATGATAATGATGATGATAATGATGCAGTAGGCATAAAAATGTATCCAAGCAAGCCACACTGTTTCGTGTTCAATATTGTTAGTCTTTATAAAATGCATATAATTCCACTTTGTAATTTCACTCTCTAGATCATATGATTCATTGCTTTGATGTCTTGACAAGCATGAATAGTTAAAAACGCATATAATTTGTGTTAAAATTCCATCAGAAATGCAGGTTTCTTACAGTAATAGGGAAGAAAACATAATTGAACCAACATAACTAGATCAAGACACCTGAATGGAAAAACATCTCAATGTTAAAAGTTTGAGTGAGGGGTCTGTCTGAAATTTTTGTAGGAATAAATAGGCGCTAAACTTCATTTTGTTCAGAAGTGAAAAATCTAGAAATTCCCTAAATATTGATTTGTGATTATGTAACAATTTTAATCAGTATATAACAATCCCAATTAAACAATCAAGACAAATCAACACAACGATTTTAACGTGGAAAAAACCACAATTGGACACCTCCAACTGTGATTAAAAAAATCACGGGCAACAGCTACAAAACAATCCACTAAGAAAATTTAAAGGAATTACACAGGTATACTCTCAATTACCTAGCGAATTCACGCCTAATTGAACCAACCTCTATGTGCCTCTTCCAACCCGTCTTCACCTCGGAATTGTCTTTACGATGAGCCACTCTGGAATCCACCGAAGCTTCAGGCTCGAATTCTTCAGAATCCACCGAAGAACAACTCTCTCTTTTGTAGAACAAAACACAACCTTTGATGTACTCTCTTTAAACCATGAGTTGAATACTCAATAAAACATCAAAGAAAAACTCACAAAGTATCCCCAGATATAAACCCTAGAACCCAAAAAGAAGATCTAGAGTAGTAATCCTAAAATCTGACCCAACACGCGAATTTATAGAATCTGTCCCGCGATCTCCGCTCGAGCGCCCAACAGCCCGCTCGAGCAGCTTCAGCAAAATATGCGCGTGATATAACAGAGGTCCGCTCGAGCGCTAGAGAACCCGCTCGAGCACGAAATCACACAGCTCAGTACTTTTACAGGCGACCAAAACTTCTGGAATCAGGGATTCTCCGCTCGAGCGGGGTAATGTCCGCTCGAGCGGACAGGCAACTTTGAATGCATTTTTGCATTTTGCTTTGGGGGCGCTGCCCCTCGACCCCGCGAACTGATCGGGTAGCTCGATCCCCGTCATAATCAGCGAAGTGGCAATCTTGAAAGCATTAGCATCACAAACTTCTCTGAAAGGCACAATTCGGGTTGGATTCGCATCTAAACACTATAGCCTCACTGAAATAAAAGTGCGAAAATAAATACAACTGAAAGGAGTTTTGTCAAACGGGATTTGCCAAGAATAAAACCTAACAAGAAGCATACATGCAGTGCAGGTGCCTTAAATCCTGAATATTAGCTCCTTTGAGAAATTGTGATTGCAATAGTTTTGTGGAAATTGTTATACCTATTTCGAAAATCTATAGATGCCATCTGAAGGTGATGTTGTGAGATATATTGTTGTACCAAAGTGTGAACCTTATGCTCGATTTATTGAATAAGCCGCCTTCCTATCAAGGTTAAGGAGTCAACTGAGCATCTTAGCTGCTGAATTGAATACCCTGATTGAATCAGAGTTCACACTGTTACCAGAATTTTTCTGTAGTCTTATCATGGTTTAAAATATTGATATTATCAAGTGTTTTTAATGATACAAATTTACTCATAAAGAAGAAGAAAAAATAGATAATAAATATGTGAATATGACAATAATTTATAGAATATAAATTCAAGACTGATGGACATTAAACAACATGAGAGACAAAGAAATATGCCAATATTTAATCGATATTGGTTTGCATGTCTTATTCATGCCAGAAATATGGATGTAAATCAGTAAATATGAATCTATTAATTTTAATGTTTAATGTTAATGTCGATGATTAAGTTGTTTGGGTAATAGTGCTATGATTTCAAATTTCTTACCCTTTAGGCATGGAAATTTCAGTTTCAATGGGTGATGATGGCTTCTAATCATTTCTAAAATTCATACAACTTGCAGGAACTTGAAAGATCTATGTCTTACAGGAACACTAACACCTGATCTTGGAATCCTGGTCCACTTAAAGTCTATGTAAGGATACATTAGTTTGTCATGTAGTTGCCAATGATTTGTCATATATGTTTGTTCGTGTTTCCTTATATGTGTTTTCTGTCTTATAGGCTTTGTATTTTTCTTGTGCACTTCTTTGCAGCATCTTACGCAACAACTCCTTCTATGGAATCGTTCCTGAAGTGATTGGAGAGCTGAAGGAGTTGGAGATGTTGGACTTGGGACACAATAACTTCAGCGGACCACTTCCATCTGATCTTGGCAATAATTTGTCACTCTCAATCCTGTAAACTGAAATTTACAAGTGAACTAATTTTCATTGAGGGAATCCTTTCTTTCTGCTCATGTTGACATATTTTTTATTATATTGCAGTCTACTTGATAACAATGAGCTTTTTGGAAGCGTATCCCCTGAAATTCATGAGCTCAAAATGTTTTCCGAAGTTCAAGTAGATGAACACCAGCTGTCTAATTCAGTCCATAAATCATCTTGCAGTGAAAGATCCATATCATGGTATGGCTGTTTTGTTAATGCAAACTTATTTTCCATGAAAAATGCTATACAAAATAACAATTTTTACAAATTTTTCTTTCTTGCTGATGTGGCATGCAATAAAGAAATTTTGGTATTTGAAATAAGACCCACTACAATAATATAGGGGTGGGCAACGGTTTATCGATCCGCAAAAACCGCCCAACCCGCCCAATTGGCATACAAATGGGCGGTTTCGCAAATACAATGCGGGCGGATGTGGTTTGAAATATGGCATCTTTGCGGGTTGTGGGTTTAACCCGCACCCGCAAGAAACCGCCCGCACTTTACTTATTTATTTTTATTTTTTTTTTATCTTAACTATTGATTTCATTTCTATATCCCACCTAGATATTTTTGTCCAAAACAAAACACCCTTTATTTTTTGAACTTACTCTAACATTACATTTGCTAATAGTATTATATCAACTGAGACTGAATAAATACTGATCATATTATTATTGTTACATAACTGAACTTGTCCCGGATGAAGTGTGATTTAGAATTTTAAATTCCTTAATGAATATGGAGTTATAGTTTAGGATTTTGAAATATATGCTTGTGTTAGTTTATGATTTGAATGATTTGTTTATATTACGAATTGATTTTATTGTATTTTTAATTTTGTAAGTTTTAATTTATTAATTATTAATGTTGGAGCATTTTAGAAAATGGGAAGAAAAGGGCCCAAAATAAATATTTACAAAATGGGAAAAAAATAAGGCTTAAAAATAAATTTTTGAAGAAAAAAGTTCAATCCGCATTCAATCCGCAACCGCCCGTACATCCGCGAACCCTATCTGCACAAACCGCAAACCGCACTGCGGGCGGTTGCGGGTTGTCTTTTCCCCAAACCACATAGATGCGGGCGGGTCCAAACCGATCCGCAAACCGTCCAAATCCGAACCGCGAACACCCCTACAATAATATGATATGTGCTACATCACTAAGGGGGTGTTTGGGAACCTTTGACATAGGCTATTTTAGCCTCAAATTGTAAAAAAGCCCAAAAGCCTCAAATTGTCCCGCCTAATTCCCAAAAAAAAAATAAAAAAATGAAAAGCAACGGCTGTCAGCAGTAGACAGCCTACACTGTCACCAACAGTGTAGGCTGCAGACAGGTAAATGACAATTTTATCCCTACAGCTCAATTTTGAAAAAAATAAGTTTAGGGGCAAATTTGTCATTTCAATCTTAAACATCATTTCAAACACATTTTTTAATACGACAATCAACTCAAAAATTTAACCCAACTTCCCAAACACAAAAACTAAAATAGTCTACTAAGATAGCCAAAAAACCTAAAAAAAAGCCACTTCTCAAACACCCACTAAGTAAGAAAAGTTTGTAAGAATTGTTAGTTAGTATAGTATTACTCTTTTTCTATGGATAATGTAGTGTTTCAATAACATGGGCCCCAGGAAATGTTATAGAAAACTACAGGGCAAACTGTGTGTATGGCTCAAAAGCAAATTCAACCTGGCATATCCTTGGGTAAGGGTGCAACTTGAGCGCATTCTGTCAGGTTGATGAGTTGTTTAGGCTCAGCCCAAATTGTGTTGAGAGTTGTCCATATCCGACCTCAAACCCGAACTTGTCTTCCCAAACCCGATGTGAGCATGATAAATTGATCGTAGGCTAGGTTCAAATGTCCTGAATTACCCACAAATTTGAGGGGGTTTTCTATAACTTTTTTGCAGCTAGGCTAATTAATTTGTTGAACTTAGACCCTATTGACATTTATTTTTTTAATAAAATCATTAATAACATCAAAACAAATATATATGATGAGAGAGAGATATAGAGTGGAGAGAGAGAGATGAGAGATGAGAATCAAGGAACTGTAGTTGTGGCTTTGGCATTTCTGAGTGTGAAAGGAAATGGTAGATTTTATGTTGTGTTACTTTTATATATGATATGTATAATGAATATGATCCAAAGGTCCAAATTTTTTTAACATTATCTAGCAGTTAATAATTTATATATTTAATTTGGGTTTTGGGGTTCTCTGTCGTGACTTCGTCTAAGCCAGGCCCAAATTTAATTTACGCTTTTAAATTTCAGCCCTGCCCTAGCATGCGCCGAATTCAAAAATATATTGCCCAAGACCTAAAAGATTTTGGGTTGGGCCCACCCGAGTTGCACTCCTATCCTTGTGGCTCATTAATCATGGCTTTACATTCCATAACTTTACCCAATAAGTGATATTTTCATGTTCTCTTGCCCTGTACAAATGTTTCTCCTGATCCCAGTCATTTGCAATGTCTATCGTGAAATTTGGATAGCTCATCTCATGGTCATTTTCATGACAATTTGCTTTTATTTTTTCCAGGACCATTGCCCAAATTGGAGATGGAGCTCACCGAAGGTTGCTGTCACCCCACCTTACGCTACCGCCACGATCCCAGTCCCAGTCCCCGTCCCAGTCCCAGTACTGGTCCCGGTCCCGGCCCCGGTCCCGGTCCCAGTCCCGGTCCCGGTCCCAGTCCCCATCCCCATCTCCTGCACCATCGACTGTGTCAAAGCCAGACTTGACTTCTGCTCCTACACCCTCTCCTTTTCATCCTTCAGAAATTACCAATTCAAAAAATCAACTTGCTCTAATATTGTCTTTAGCCATAGGGGTTCCTGTGTTGCTTTTTGTTTTGGTCATTAGCATATTCTTATGTCAAGGAAATAAGATGGCTGCTGTCAGACCCTGGGCCACAGGATTAAGTGGACAGCTACAGAAAGCATTTGTAACTGGTAATTTTTCTTTCTCGCAAGAATAAACCAATTTTGTGTTTTTATCTTATATGGATGTCCAAAAGGACAAAGCCTGCTTCTTAACAGTTGAGTTAGGATTAATCCTGGGTTATAATGGGGAATTCAAATATGTTATGTAAATCATTTTTTTAATATAAGCACATCCCATTGTCTATGGTAGTGCAATGGTCACAATCTCATATTGCATCTATAGTTTGGGATGTTTTCCTCCTACAAATATTTGCCTCCACAAGCTAGATTTCTGGAAAAGATTCATTTTCATGGTACCATAGGCTTAAACATATATTGACTTATAAATCTGGGATCGCTTTAATTCTTGTGTTTATATTGATGCATGCTTCTAATTTCCCTTCTCAGGTGTGCCAAAGCTCAACCGACCAGAGCTTGAGGCTGCTTGTGAAGATTTCAGCAATGTGATCAGTTCTTCATCAATCGGAACAGTATACAAAGGGACATTGTCTAATGGAGTTGAAATAGCTGTTACTTCTGTTGCAGCCACATCTCCCAAGGATTGGTCAAAAAATCTGGAAGCCCAGTTCCGGAACAAGGTATATTACAAACGAGCCCCACTAATGTTATGCTGTTTATATTTAGTTCCACAGTCCCTGAATGTGTCATTCTTCAAATCTCTCAGATTGACTCGTTATCAAATGTAAACCACAAGAATTTTGTGAATCTTCTTGGGTATTGCGTGGAAAAGGAGCCTTTCACTAGAATGTTGGTTTTTGAATATGCTCCAAACGGGACACTCTTTGAGCATTTACACAGTGAGTATCTAACTTTTGTCTTCATTTTTATGTAGAAACGAACAATTTTGTTTCTCGGCTGGTTATTTTAAGATTTCCTGGCTGTAGAGGTAGACCAATAATAATTTGAAAATGAATAATGGATACCCAAAAGTGAGTTGTACATTCTTTGGTGCTGTACACGTGGTGTACAAACCAGGTTTCATGACTTACCGATAACTATTTAATGCTTCTAAGAAGACCTTGTATTAAAATGTTGATTTTTATTAACCTTTTTTTTTGGGTAATGAAATTTTTATTAACCTTGAATATCCCATCAAAGTCTTAATACATTAAATTATTTATTCATTTATTTGTTTTTTGTTTTTTGTGTTTTGTGTTTTGTTATTTGTTATTTGTTTCTTCTTCTTCTTCTTCTTCTTCTTCTTTTTTTTTTTTTTTTTTTTTTTTTTTTTTTTTTTTTTTTTTTTTTTTTTTTTTTTTTTTTTTTTTTTTTTTTTTTTTTTTCTTGGAGATTGATTCTTTAAATGTCTATGTCAACTATTTTGGTACTGAAGAGGCTATACTATATTGAAGTTGAGGTTTGACTAATTCATATCACCACTAAAATGACTTGTTCTGGTTTGGCAACCCAGGTGGCTGTGATCTCTTTTATAATAGTAATACAAATAAACAAATGGATTACATTAGACGTTGCCCCATATAGTTATCTCACAGTAGATTTTTCTTATTTGTTGTCAACTAGGAAATGAGAACTTTCTCATTCTGTGCTGACGAGGTCATGCAAACAAACAAGAGACAAGAACTTACCAGGAACCTGCACATAAGAATATTCTGTTCTCTGCTCTATTCATGACCATTGACAATGACAATAGGGGAAATACTTTCGAAAAAGGAAAAAAAAAATTAATAACTAGAGGGAGATAATTTGAAAATAGAACAGTGGACATATTAATAGTTTCTAACTCGCGATTTTTTTTTTCCCTGCAGTAAAAGAAGCAGAACACTTGGACTGGGGAACACGGATGAGGATTACAATGGGCATGGCATACTGCCTTGAGCACATGCACCAACTGACACCGCCCATAGCCCACAAAAACCTGAATTCCACGTCCATCAATCTCACCGAAGACTATGCAGCAAAGATCTCAGATTTTGGTTTCTGGGTCGAATCAGCCGAAGCTGAGATGGTATCTTATCCAGAATGTAATGTCTACAGCTTTGGTGTCATATTATTCGAAATGGTAACAGGTAGGCTCCCTTACTCATCGGACAGGGCATCGGACTACTTGAGAGGAGAGCAGCCCCTTATAGAAATGCTGGATCCAACTCTAAAATCTTTCCAAGTGGAGCAGCTTGAACAAATCGGTGAAGTGATTAAATCTTGTGTCGCCCCTAACCCAAAACAAAGACCTCAAATGAGAGAAGTCACTGCGAGATTGAGAGAGATAACAATGATAGGACCTGATGCAGCGGTCCCTAAACTCTCCCCTCTTTGGTGGGCAGAGCTTGAGATTATTTCTACAGAAGCAAGGTAATATAGATGAAGTTGAGCCTGCAATTTTGGACACAAAGAATTGTCCATAGGGGGTTACTACAATTTGTATCTTGTGTAGGACATGGTGGTTTTACATGTACATAAATATAGATAAAAAGGAAAATGGTGCAACCTTTTCTGATTTGGTTTTTGCTTTCAACAGTTTGGCTGTTAAATGCCCGAAGAATAGTAAAGTATATACATGTTCAAGTTTTTGAATTTTTTTTTTTATCATGCTTATCATTTCCTTGCTGTCTTCATGTTCATGTTTTCCAGTTGGTAGTCATGTTCTTAAACAGTTTGCCCTAAAACCACATTTTTGTCAGCTGCAATGAAAATGTGTCGAATTTTCTGGAGTTCCTTTTTTTTTTTTTTTTTTTTTTTTTGGGCAACAGTTGAAGGAAAGGGGAATAGGGGAGGGGAAACTGCAGGTCACACAACTGGTGAGACTTGATGTTGGATATTATGTCGGTTAAGGAAGTGCTTCAACCGCCGGGTCAATCCTTTCATGTTATGAAGTTGAAAGGGGCTTTTATCAACTGAATCCACCATTGCATTAGACATTACCTTCTACGTTAAGAGGAATCTCAGAGATAGTATAAGGACCCACCGACCCCAAACCCAACAGCCACCTGCAAGTATTGTTTGTTGTGATCTAACTCAATAGTTGGCCTCCCTTGTTTGTCTCTTTGATCTCCAATCCCAAAAGCGGCCTCCAAAGTAGAAGTGTGTTGCACAATCTTACAATTCCATTCTGAACATCGTCTCCATCAGCTGTGGAATGTTAACATAAATGACGATAAAAAAATGTTAGAGAGAGAGATTATAAGGGTATTATATGCAGAGACAAGAAGTCCCAAGCCAGCCAACCACTATCTCATGAATTAATAATCAAACCAGAATATGATAATACACATTAGAAGATTGAAGGTGGCCTTCACGTACAAAACAATTTTGAATAACACAGAGTATTTGAAATACAACTTAGTTGCTCCCACGTCAATGCCAAAATCCCAAAAAAAAAACACCAAGAATTCTCATAACCGAAACACTATATATACCACCCCAATCCAAGTATCTCTTCATCACACAAAGCCATTAACTCAAAAGTCTCTAAACCTCTAAGTTAACCATTCGACAAGATGGCAAGTGGCCAGATCACGATCCTCGTCTCATTGATTCTCCTCCCATTGGCCTTCCCCTCCACAGCAGCCTACGATTATGTGCCGGCCAAAACAGTGGAGAAGAAAGTAGATGTCGTGGTTGAAGGCATGGTCTACTGCCAGAGCTGCCAACACTATGGAACATGGTCTTTGTCCGGGGCTGACCCTATCCCTGCAGCTAAAGTTAGCGTTATCTGCAAAGACCACAGAGAACGAGTAAGCTATTACAAGGCATTCGAAACAGATGCACATGGCTACTTCTACGCACAACTTGAGGGCTTCACAATGAGCCACTACTTATTAGACCATCCCCTTACTTCGTGCCACGTTAAGCTCGTTTCATCACCTCTAGAAAGCTGCAACGTACTTTCTAATGTGAACTACGGACTGAATGGCTCTCCACTTCGCTATGAGAACAAGAGATTGTTTGGAAAGAATTACAAGGCCCTAGTTTTCGTTGCAGGTCCCTTGGCGTTCCGTCCAGCTAACTGCACTCCTACTTATCACCCATGATTGCATTACCATCCTTAACTCTTTGATTAATTGTTATTTCTGTTTTAATGTTGTTTGGCCTGTTTGTTCGCTGTTCACTGTTGATTTAACAATCCTTGTATTTCTCAGTTTGAATTTTGTTCTATTTCTTGAATCAATTTAAAAATTCTGCAATCTTTTTGAGTTTATTGGTGTCTTATTCATAAATGATTTTATATTTCAGATATAGTTGTATTCTATTTAATGTAAAATGTGAAACACAAAAGCACTTGAGAGGCATAAATAATAATAAAAAATGCATCTACCCTAAATGTTCACTGATCAAATGTGAGCTTAATCAACTGAAGAACAATTTTAGAATGAGTCGTGCTACAGGCCTCAAATATTGAGGCGCGAATTTGCTTCGAATTTGTTTAATCTGTCGTCTGGCCAGTCGTCCAACAAAGAGGGTGACAACCGCGATAGACAAGTGCTTCACCTGGTCGTTCGGGTGGTTGTATGGTGACCACAAATTCGTGCCATTCACGTCTGAAGTTCTCGAGACTTGAAGCATTAGTGTTTTAGAATTATCAAAATAAAAATGAGTTACGTAGTACTTAGAAGTCTAATAGCATTCCAAACACGCAGGTTGGTTTGGATTAATTTTGAGGAAAAATCATTAACAAAACTATGTTTGATTGAGAAATTTTCAACTTTATGCCAATCTATCCATTCTCAAAATAGGCTAGTCGGTTGAATATTTGGACGGTTTTAAACCGATGGGGTTAGGCAGGTTAGGAATATATAATGGAAAAAAATAATTAACATTCAACATTATTTATTAATTTTTTATAATTTCAAACAAAAAAATTATCATTTATCTCAAATCTTCACACAAATTCACAAATTAATTGAATGTATGATGTTATTCAAAATCAAATTTTAGAAACTAATACACAACATGAACAATCAAGAAAAAAAATATGCAATGAAAATGAAGTGTGATTGTCATCCGATTAATGGTATTAGGCTATGAAGCAGGGGTATTTCAAAAATGTTATCGTACTCGTACCTGGTACTAGTACGTGTATCGATAGCTGCATGCATACTGTGTACTCGAAATACGTACCAAGTACATTTTATACATTTTTTGACAATTAGGTACTCTGTAGATATTTTGTGGGTACGTGTTGGCACAAAAATTTTGATTTTTTTCCATCGACAGGTTATTGACGTGGCATAATGAAGTGGCATGGTGACATGGCTTCTTGGAGAAAGACAGAAGCCACAAAAGGAAGTCAAACTGAGAGGAAGTTGGTTGTTGCCAAGAATCAAGGGATGGAAAACCAAGTCAGTAGGAAATCTGTCAAACGGTTCCTAAAATAAAGGGATAAAGATGCAAAGAAGTAGAAGATCAAGAAAGACCATGGAGGACGGCTACATTGAAGGATGATCAAGCAAGTATAAAAGGAGAACTTGAGGAATGAGAAAGATCATCAATCAAACCACTCACAAATCGTGATATTAGTTTCTAGTTAAGAGTAGTTAAATTAGCAATTCTAGGAGTAGATCATCAATCAAATTACTCACAAATTGTGATATTAATTTCTATTTAGGAGTAGTTAAATTAGAAATTCTAGGAGTAGATCAGTGATAGTTTTTCCCAACCCCCATTTCTTTTCTTAAATCGATTGTTGTATTTTTTAGTTTTTTGTTCTTGTTTAAGTTTATGCAACTTGTAGCAAGTGACAACTTATTTGAATAATACATATTGTTATGTTCTGTTTCTTCTTTATTTAATTACCTCCAAGGAAGTCCTTAATTTGTTTAAGGTATAAAACTCAATCACAAATCTGATCTTTTTGTGTTTGTGTGAAAATTAATTTAAGTCTGTCAATTAATCACTGTCAATTAGGTTTAAACTAGATTTTTACTAACAGTACAATATGGGTACATTGGGGGTACAATGAGACATTCTAATTTACTTGAAATTGCAAATACTTTATTTGATGTGCCAAAGAGGAAAGATGTATTATTCAATGATGAATTTTTTTTCTTTAAGATGGGAATGATGAAGTTGGTGTAAGTGAAAATTGAAGTTTCAAATTTCAAAATTTTGCTTAGCTTGCTTTTGGAATGAAATTTTGTTTTGTAATTTCTCATCTTAAAATAATTTATGGACTTTGCTTTGGCATTGGGATTGTTGAACTATAATTTCTCTTTTGATTTTGTAATTTCTCCTTTTAGTTATTGAATTTTAATTTGTAGGTTGAATATCAAAATATAAATTATAAAAAATAAAAAATTTATTGACGTACCCCAACTAAACTCATATTCTATTTTTCTTAGATCTTGCTGTATCAACATATACATAATGTACTCGTACTAGTATCTGTACCTGCACCCATGGTTCATAGGTATTAGGGTTAGGGTATGTGTAAAATTTTACTTATAGATATAGGCAAATGGGTCAGTTTGTAGGCAGGTTAATAAATTTTAATTCCCAATCCAACCAACTCGTGAATTTTTATTATCTAACCCACCTCAACCTAACTTGCTTACTTTCTCAAACCATATGAGTTGGTTTGGGTTAGTTTGGATTGATGCACTTGACAATTTGGCCATTTTTTTGGAGAAATTTTACTATACACACATCTTGAAAAGGTGCACCATATTCATCCCTAATTATACAATTTTCTTCTATAGTGTAGGCACTCCATTTTTGACTACCCTTAAAGACCTGGGCGTCACCGATTGATTACCCAATGATGAATGCACACGCTTGTCAAATGTTTGATTTCCTTGATAGCTTTTGTCACGTCCCAAGCTCCGTGACAACGCCGCACACTCATTTAAGTGAGCATGCAAGGCTAAGAGTCCAACACATAACAAACAATCTAAAATACTCCAGTTAAATCCTTAATTATCATAATACTAAAATCCATAAAAAATTGATTATTCTTATCATATGAAATTATCCACCAAGTCCACTAATAAAATCTATTAACAAAACAAATAATCCAAGTACTTAAATCATAGTCCTACTCTCGGCACTCCCACAAGTAAAAACCCCGCGCAGCTCTACTCCTCAGAATCTGAAAAATAAAATAAGGGTAAGCTAGACAGCCCAGTAATAAACCCAGCCATCGCTGCTAGCTGGATCAAGTCATTACCAAAAAAAAAAATAGTCAATAAAAATATTATTTTTGTCTACCATTCAATAAATGAACAATTATTTTGTAAGATGTTTCTAGCTGAAAATAAACGTGTAGCAATACTTAATTGAAAAGACAATGAGGTAATTCAATGAAATTTTGTTCAAAATTGATGGTTCATATTCAAATGGTTCAATGAGCAATTCACAAAACCAAGTCTTGGTGACTACGTCACTTAGCCCGTAGCAAGGCCAGAACCACACTAAGCCGGTGTAAAGCCCCAAAAAAAACTAGTTTCTGCCAATAAATAACCCATTGGCTAGGGTCCAAATCATAGTCAGACTAGAGTGATGCTCAGAATTCAAACAATACACAACTTTTAAATAAAATATTCGATATTTTCAGAAAAACATTTGTACAATTTTTTCGAATAGTTTCACAAAAATTCCAATAATTTTCATAATATTCGATAGATTTTATTACTTGACCCATATTTTATTTTAAGAGACATAAATGTATAAATAAATATTATAATTTTAAACGATTTATAGAATACAAAAAAATACCAACAGTGATAGAGGATTACTTACTTCAAACAGCCAAAATAATATTTCCAAGCTAATCTCAAATTACCAAGATCACCTCAATCTCACAAACCTAATAAAATATTTACACCACATAAACAATTATTATTGATCACCATGATGCATCCATCATTCTTTTCTTTATAATGATAATAATCTTATTCTATAGTCCTATAAGTTAAATTCGCAAAACCCCAACAATACCGGACTTCGCAATCTTCAAGACTTATTTTATTTCTATTGTTATTTTTTTACATACGTAAACGACCATAATTACTAGCAGTCAAAGCTTGTATCCTAAACAAATGCACCACCATTAGAATTAAAACCTATCAACATACAGCCCCAAATACACACACCCATCAAGCATACAGGATAACTCTGTGCTAAAGAAATCCCCTTTTTAGTGCCAAAACAACCCACCGTATTCATATTTGGCAAACCGACACCCAATATCAGATAGACAAATATGTTTATCTTTTTCATATTTTACGCCATCAATCATGGCATTGTTATATTGAAAACTAAATTAATAGAATAAGAGTACCATTAAAAATCTTATCCTCCAGAGATGATTAGATGCAAAATCACCACTCTATGAAATTTCCTTTTTTTATTATTTATTTTAAATTTTTTTTTTTTTTTTGTGTTCTTTTTCAAACCCTGTGGCAACCTTCAAATAAACCTCCTGAGCCTCGTTTTTTGTTCTTCTCCTAGACTTGAAGCAAAAATGTGTGGGTTATTAACCTAGTTTTCCTCAAAATTAACAAAATTACCCATCTATGTTTATAGAAAATCATAATACCATCTCATGACTAATTCCTTAATATTACTAAATCGACAACCCCCATATAAATTAACTTTCAATTATTATCTAATCCAAAAATAATTATATACAAAACTTGGATTCTCTCCCCCTTAAAAGAAATTTCGTCCTCAAAATTTGGCATACCTGGAGTCTCAAAAGTTAAATGGATACTTTTGTCTTTTTCATTCATCGAGGTTCCCAAGTAGCTTCTCTTCTTCCGAGTGAAATTGCTCATTTGAACCTTAATGTAGGAATGATCGACGCCTCAAAACTTGTTCCTTTCTCATCAACAATTCGATATAGGTGTTCCTTCATAGGTCAAAATTTTCCTTAAACTGCAACGGTTGCATTGATCAATCACAATAACGAGGATCGGCGGTATATACTTCCTTAACATTGAGACATGAAAACATTATGAATCTCCAGCTAGTGAAGGTTGGTAGGGCCAGTTCTGTAAGCCTATCTCTCAATGTCGATCTAAACCTCAAATGGGCCGAACAAATGCTAGGACTCAATTTACCATGAACCCAAACCTCATTACTCCTTCATAGGAGACACCTTAACGAAACCACATGGTCTACAACCCAAACATCCAAATCGCGTCTCCTATTATCTGCATAACTTTATGTCTACTTTTGTG